CATTCATCTGCAACTGCTTATGATCTCAACCCACGTGGCTTCACCAATAATCCATATGGCAACATCTCTTCTACTTCAAGGGGCATACATTCATCTGCCAATGTTTTCGACTTACATATGGAAATGCCAACATGACGACAGTCTATTCACATCCCACATGATACAATAGCCTCAAGTTCAAGGGGAGGACACGCAAGCGGGAACTTATTTGACCTCAACATTGGATTATCGGAGGAACCCTCATCTCCACCAGAAGAACCTCTTCGGGAGCCAGGTGCAGATGGTGCTGAAATGGGATTATTCGTTGAACCTGACTCACCACAGTTTGACGTACATTATGATAATGACGAGGATGTCGTTCCGATAAATACAACACCAGCCGAACTTCCTGCACATATGCATGAGGCTGATTATGATGCAATGTATGAGCCTAAATTTCCAGATCTTCCTGATGTTGGCAACTATGGACTTCAATCATTAGTCAATGACGGTAATTTACATATTAGAATGGAGTTCGCATCGAAGGAGGAATCAATGATAGCAATAAAGAGTTACAATATTCATAACTCAGTTAAGTCCCGAGTTGATCGATCTAACACGGAGAAATATGTCTGCTACTGCGTCCAACATGACAACGGATGTCAATGGATGGTCCGTGTATCAAAGAGGAAGAGGAAGAACAACTTATGAGAACTAACCAGATACAACGATCCTCATACATGTTGTGCAACAGGTATAAACCAGGATCATCCCAACATGGACTCCAACATTATTTGTCAAGCAATCATGCCCATTGTGAAGCAAAGCTCTCATATAGCTGTTGCAGTGTTGATTTATGCTATACAATCACAATATGGGTACACTGTCTCATATAAAAAAGCATGGTTGGCAAAACAAAATGACATTTGCAAACTTCATGGCGAATGGGATTCCTCTTACAACGAGCTGCCCAGTTGGTTTCATGTTGTGCAAAGACTTAATCCCGGGACAATTGTTGAGTTCGAAACTCAACATCATTACGTGAATGATCGAATGGTTCGCGATCGCTTCCAATTTTACCGTGTCTTTTGGACTTACCCTCAGTGTATTAATGCAGTCAATTACTGTAAATCAGTTGTCCAAATTGATGGTACTTTCTTGTATGGGAAATACAAGTAAGTTTTATTATTGGCTGTGGTCCAAGATGGAAACCGCAATATTCTTCCTGTTGAGTTTGCCCTCGTTCAAGGAGAAGACACTAAGTCTTGGGCTTTTTTTCTTAAAAATTTACGTTTACATGTTGTCACCAGGGAACGAGTATACATTATTTCAGACCGAGGAGCCGGGATAAAAGCAGCAATGGACTCTTTGGGTACAATGTATAGACCTCCACATGTTCAACATCGTTATTGTGTCCATCATATTGCTGCAAACTATTACGGAAAATACAAGAAGAACGATGAACGTCAGTTAGTTGTGCGGATGGGTATGTTACTTTTTCCCAATTTTTCTATCAATTTCTTATTACTTATTTATACTTCATATTAACTATTACATATTCCTAATGGCTTAGGTTACGAACTCTTACCTCAAAGGTTTGAGTAGATGCTACAAGAGCTGTTTGGAAAAAATAAGAAGGGGTGCGAGTACATTATGGACATCAGCAAAGAAATGTGGACAAATGCATATGACGGAGGGTATCGCTATGGTCATATGACAACAAACTTGGCTGAAGCAATAAATTCAACCTTAAAGGGGGCGCGTCATTTACCAGTCACGGCGTTGGTTAAAACGACTTATTTTCGTTTGGGTCAACTCTTTGCAAAGCTCGGTGGACAAGCTCTTACTTGGATGCAAAACGGACATATTTACCACCCAAGACTAGTAGTTGATTTACAGAAAAAAGTGGCTGCATCAAATGGGATGTTAGTTACAAATTTTCCTCGCACCCGTGAATTGTTTCGTGTAACCGAAATGCCACTTCCGCTGCAAGGGATTGGAGCTAACTCTTTCAGAGTTAATCTGCAAGAGAGGTGGTGCGATTGTGGTTTCTTTCAAGCACTCAAATATCCATGCTCTCATGTCATTGCTGCTTGCTCACATTCGCATTTGGACTACAAAAATTATGTTGATCCCGTATACCAACTTTCACAAGTATTCAAGGTATATGAATTTGAGTTTCCGCCCATAGGAAACGAAAGAGACCCAAATGAGATTCAAACTTGGCTAACAATTGTACCAGATCCATTGCTATTGAGGGACTCAGGTCGTCCAAAATCTACTAGAATACATTGTGATATGGATATTCGGGAGAAGTCAACAGAACAAAAACGATGTGGGCATTGTAGAAACATCGGGCACAATAGAAAAAAATGTCCAGCTCTGTTATCATCATATAACCGTTAACTCTTATGTAATTAATATTGTATTTAAATGAATGTTTTAGTTTCTAATAATTTAATGTTATTGCATTTATATAATTTGTCAATGTATGTACACCTAAATAATTTTTTTTAACTTTTAAATACATAAATATTTTTAATATATTTATTTAATATAATAATTAATATTATTAGTTATAATTTTTTAAAAATATAATAATAATTCCACTTTCTAAGTAGAGAAAAATATTAAATTAAACAAATTAAAAGTTATTAAAAAATTTATATATACGATGACACATTTCATGTTCTGATTGGAGGATTAAATTTATTAAATTAAATTTTCAATAAGACTAATTTCATAAAATATGTAAGTCTTGAAGATTAAATATGTAATTATACTAATTTATTAACTTATGCATCAATATTTTCGTTAAATATTGATATGAGATGACTAGATTGATAACATTTAAATAATTAATTGATAAAATTAATATATCGATAATCAAAATAAAAAATAATAATATAACCATATGTGTAATATTATAATTTCATACATTTTTCTTATAACTACAATAAAGTCAAAACTGGTTTTCATATATTGTTATATCATATTAATGTAGATAATTCACTCCACCTTTAACACACATTAACAAAATACATTTGATAATTCTTACATTATAATCGAAACACTTTACATAATATATTATTAATTTATAATAATAATAAAAATAAAATATTTATTATTAAATAAAATACGTGGCAGTCGAGCTGGCGAAAGGCGCTTCCCCGGGGATGCGCCTTCCACACTTGGCATCCAACTCGCCAGCTCAGCAGAAAGGGTGCTACTTCGGGAAATATTGGTCAAACGATGTCAGAAAGGGGATATTAGAGAAAATTGGTGTCAATTATGTCAAATAGCCTTTTTAGTCCACACGACCCGACTCAAGAATAATAAATCCACCACCTAAAATCCGACTCGATCAAACCAAAACAAGATTTCACCCGACCTGAACCTGAACCGATATATAACTTAAAAACTCGACCTGATCCCACCCAAAATAATAATAAAAATATTACTTTTATTCAATAAAAATAGTGACTTAATTAAAAAATAATAATATATAGAATAATATTATTATAATTATTTTTAAATATATAATGTAAAATTATATTTTTCAGATTCAAATGAGACAAGTCGGGACCCGTCGAGTTCGGGTCTGATGTTCATCCCTATTTATACGAGCTGGTTGGTTTTGTTGGGAGCTTATAAAGAATAAATTCTTTTACACCTTTAAGTAAATCATATCTCATCGATCTAATCTATTGATTCAATAAGAAAATTTATATATTTAATTTATTTTTAATTTTTAGATGATTCATTCATATTGAATATTTGAAAAAAAATCATAATCGAATCAGATATAAATTATTTAAATTTTCATTTTAAATTATCTGAAATTTAATAAAAATAGATCTTTAGAATTTAAACAACCTCTAATCCAATAAATAAATAATCCAATACGACACTAACCCAGCTGACTAACCCTAACCTTAAATGCCTTAGCCCTTAATCCTTATGCACTTGCAGACTTGCAGTTTGTTTAACATCGATCTTTACCTGAAACCGAAACAAGCAAGGATTTTTAAAGAAACCCAAAGTGAGAAAAGAAGAAGATGATGGAGAGAGTACCGAGAAAAGATGAAGGAGAAGAGCCTGGAATGAAGAGGGTATGAAGAGACTCAGAAGAGGAAGAAACCCTTTGACTTTGAAGCAAAACAGAGGGATTACTAGAACCAGGCATGAAAATTATCAATCTAAAGGATCGATCTTCTTTTTTTCAATATATCATATTAACCGGAAGAAGATCTCAAAATTTTGGGACCAAAAAGATAAAGAAGAAATTCTTCACTTATGGCGAAAGAAGCTGGTGATGATGATTTCTGTGATATGGGAAGTATGAGAACACCGGTAGGTCACACCCATCATCACTCGGAACAAGTCGAAATTTTCTTGATCTTTTGGCAAAAGAAAGTGATACAAAGAAAGCTTGGGGAAGATGAAGAAGTGGCAAAGGGATAAAATTATCTGAATAGTACAATAAGGAGTCAAATTTGTTGGCTTTATACCTAGGGATAGGAAAGGTTCGGGTCGGTTTTTTAGTCCACACGACCCGAGTCAAGGATAAGAAATTCACCACCCGAGACCCGACTCGATTCAATTAAAATAAGATTTTATCCGATCTGAACTTGACTCGATATATAATTTAAAAATTCGACCTGATCCTACCCAAAATAAAAATAAAAATATTATTTTTATTCAATAAAAATAATGACTTAATTAAAAAATAATAATATATAGAAGAATATTATTATAATTATTTTTAAATATATAATGTAAAATTATATTTTTCGGATTGGAGTGAGACGGGTCGAGACCCATCGAGTTTAGGTTTCATGTTCATCCCTATTTATACGAGCTGGTTGGTTTTGTTGGGGGCTTATAAAGAATAAATTCTTTTACACCTTTAAGTAAATCATATCTCATCGATCTAATCTATTGATTCAATAAGAAAATTTATATATTTAATTTATTTTTAATTTTTAGATGATTCATTCATATTATTGTTCATTCACTGGGTTATTATTGTTCATTATATAGTTGCTACTACACGGTGACTTAAACAAGATAGATATAACTTAGTAAGTCCAAGACCATAAGGCATGATCATCAACAGGGAATCCGAAATTGCAGGAATTTGCAGGCGGATAGGAGTAATCATAGTCGTCTTCGAGTTTAGGGAGGACGTTTGATGGAAGATGTAACATGGCCGTACCCAAGTTATCTTCTTCTTGCGATAAATCTGACTGGTCTGGTTCAAAATGAGCAGACACCACCGAGACCTTAGACTCTTCACCCTCGGAAGCCTTTGATAGTAGCTCTTTCCCCTTCATTGATAACTTATCTGTGAGCTCAAGAACCTGTAACATAAATATGAAAGGTAAAATAATTCAGAAATATTTTTGAGGGTGATTATACATATTAATAATATAACATTTATATGAAATAGATACAAGTAAAATTTTAGGGAATATAACCAACAAAATAAATAACTAATAAAAGAAAATTCGGATTTGAGAGATTTAGCTAATTACAAATGACCTCTTGTTTTAATTTATCTTTCTCTTCGAGGAGATCATCATAGTCGGCCTTGAGGTTATTATAACTGGCTTGCAAACAGTCGTAGTCTTTCTCTATCTGCTTCGTCTTCCATCGAGCACGGCGGTTCTGGAACCATATAACAACTTGCTTTGATTGCAGGCCGAGGTCTTTGGCCAGCTGAATTTTCCTTTCCGGTTCAAGCTTGTTATCGGCCTCGAAGCTTTTCTCGAGAGACTGGACTTGCTCGACGGTAAGTCGCGTCTTCTTCTCTGGTCGATGTAAATACTCGTTTATATCGCCATCTCCGTTGTCTTCTTCATCAAACGTCGTAAAAAATGATCTGTTTCGATCAACACCGTCGAAGCTTAACATCGATCTTTACCTGAAACCGAAACAAGCAAGGATTTTTAAAGAAACCCAAAGTGAGAAAAGAAGAAGATGATGGAGAGAGTACCGAGAAAAGATGAAGGAGAAGAGCCTGGAATGAAGAGGGTATGAAGAGACTCAGAAGAGGAAGAAACCCTTTGACTTTGAAGCAAAACAGAGGGATTACTAGAACCAGGCATGAAAATTATCAATCTAAAGGATCGATCTTCTTTTTTTCAATATATCATATTAACCGGAAGAAGATCTCAAAATTTAAGGACCAAAAAGATAAAGAAGAAATTCTTCACTTATGGCGAAAGAAGCTGGTGATGATGATTTCTGTGATATGGGAAGTATGAGAACACCGGTAGGTCACACCCATCATCACTCGGAACAAGTCGAAATTTTCTTGATCTTTTGGCAAAAGAAAGTGATACAAAGAAAGCTTGGGGAAGATGAAGAAGTGGCAAAGGGATAAAATTATCTGAATAGTACAATAAGGAGTCAAATTTGTTGGCTTTATACCTAGGGATAGGAAAGGGTCGGGTCGGTTTTTTAGTCCACACGACCCGAGTCAAGGATAAGAAATTAACCATCCGAGACCCGACTCGATTCAATTAAAATAAGATTTTACCTGATCTGAACTTGACTCGATATATAATTTAAAAATTCGACATGATCCTTCCCAAAATAATAATAAAAATATTATTTTTATTCAATAAAAATATTATTTTTATTCAATAAAAATAATGACTTAATTAAAAAATAATAATATATAGAAGAATATTATTATAATTATTTTTAAATATATAATGTAAAATTATATTTTTCGGATTGGAGTGAGACGGGTCGAGACCCATCGAGTTCAGGTTTCATATTCATCCCTATTTATACGAGCTGGTTGGTTTTGTTGGGGGCTTATAAAGAATAAATTCTTTTACACCTTTAAGTAAATCATATCTCATCGATCTAATCTATTGATTCAATAAGAAAATTTATATATTTAATTTATTTTTAATTTTTAGATGATTCATTCATATTGAATATTTGAAAAAAAATCATAATCGAATCAGATATAAATTATTTAAATTTTCATTTTAAATTATCTGAAATTTAATAAAAAAATAGATCTTTAGAATTTAAACAACCTCTAATCCAATAAATAAATAATCCACTACGACACTAACCCAGCTGACTAACCCTAACCTTAAATGCCTTAGCCCTTAATCCTTATGCACTTGCAGACTTGCAGTTTGTTTGCCTTGGAAGAATCGGAGGAAAGTTGGTTTACTTTTCAACTTTTGATTGTTTTTGTAAAGTTCAAACATTGATGCATGTTTTAACATTTTTATTTTATTTTATTTCACGTATCGTAGAATCCAATAAAAATTAATTTTCGATGCTGGAACAATGGTGTGGATTTTGTTGATGCTGGTGACGGGCGGCTAATGAATAATTTCGGACACGATTCAAGGCCCTTGGTCTAACTAAACTTCTAGGGCGTTAGTAAGGCCCCAAAGGGCATGGTTAAGTGTCTAACCAAGTAGGCTCTTCGAGCTTTTGGAACCCACAGTTTGAACCCTTAAGCCTAGTTGGGTTCAACGTTTGATATTTATGAAAATATTAAATTATTATTTAACGTTCGATAAAATTATCACTTTAATCTCTATTTTTTAAGTACTTTGACTCCAATATTTCACTTCAGGATAAAATACTTAGGTCGTGTTTGCTTTTGTAGAGGTAAAAGATATGTAGTCTGCAAGAAGAAGACTGTTTATTTTTTAACGTCTGCATACTGCTAAAATAAACTGAAATATAAATAAACTGATTTTTTAAACTTAAAAGAGTTTTACAATACTGAAATTTAAATAATTTTAGTTTTACAATACTGAAATTTAAATAATCTATACAACTACAATAATAATTTTCTTAAAATAAATCAATCCATATTTTAAAATAAATCAATACATACTAAAATATAAATTAGTTTACACACGCCTGTTTGTGTCATGAATTACACAATACCTTATATATTGAACCTATACCCCATGAAAAGTTTAAAACTAGACCTCTAGAAAATATTATATATAATTTTTTTAATTAAAAAAATAAAACCACTAATTAAATAAAAAAGATACAATTTAAAATTATATATAATATTTGAATTATAAATAAAAATAAAATATTAAATTTATTTTAATAAAAATTAAATGTTCTTTGAAGAGGTTAGTAGAGTTTTGAAGACATAAGACCACGTCTGCGCCAAGAAGAGAGGACGCGCAGACGTTAGAAGAGCTTTTGTCTTCTAAAAAATAAACGATCTGCGAAGTTCAATGTCTACGCATGGTCTGCGCGGCGCAGACATAAAAGCTTTGAAGACCTTTAAGTGAAAACAAACATCACCTTATTGATTTGATGAAAATTGTTAGTTGACTAATAGTCAATGTTTCATATATTCATATATATTGAAATACGTCATCCAAAATTATTTTTAGATTAATTAATTGTAATTAATTATTATTTTTATTAAATTAATTAGACATCCAATCAAATGTTACCACTTAAACCATTCGAATATCTAATAATGGGATCAATCAAATCAAGTGAAAGAATAATTTAACACTTAACCACCAGGCTATCTTATTCAATTATTATAATTTTACCAAACAAAAATATATAAAGTTAACTGTAATGATAACTAATTACATATATTTATGAAAATATTAAATTTTTTAACTAAATTATTTAATTGTATTTAATGTTATAAATATAAAAGACTAATATCACATGGACTATTAAATATAAAATTATCAAATAAAGTATAAAAAATATAATATCAAAAAATACTTTTAATATTTAACTAAATAATTACTTTGGTCCATATTATTTTTTAATACATTTTAGTCCAGCAATATTTTATATTAGAGCAAAAATGATTCTAACGTTAGACTAAATAGTAATTTTAACTCATATTCTTTTTTTTTGAATATTTGGTCTCCAATATTTCATTTTAATACAAAAAAGTTTATATTTTTTAGTGTTGAGTGTTTGTTGACTATCGATTTTCATTTACAATGTCTTTTTATCTAAAAATAAAATGTTGGAGGTTAAAATGTTCTAAAAAGAGAATAAAATTAAAAGTGTCTATTTAATCAAATATTAGAAGGATTTTTGTGCATTATGCCCAATTTTTTTTTTTGGAGAAGTGCAGATAGCGGCTTGGCAAGGCCTGTTAGTGGACGGTGGTATCTGATGGAGAACATAAGCCTACCTCCCGGTACAACTAGCTGTTCCTAGGCAACGGAGCTCAGCGGGGTTACACACGACGGGGTCCTGCGTATACTCAGCAACCTATGATGCTCACTTTAAGGGGCAAATACATAATTTTATATTAGGAGAGATCAACATATAAATTTTATAGGGAAACAAACTTATAAAATCTTGAGAGATAAAATTAGATTATTAATAAATAATATATAAAAAAATTTAAAATATAAAAAAATTAAAATTTTTAGAAAACCGGTAGACATCCCTCACTGTCTTAATTTAAAATCACATTCAATCTCATTTTCGTCCTGTCTCCCTTCAATTTTCGTTGGCTTTTATTGTTGCCTTAAATGCTAATTTACGTAATATTTCCGTCATATCCGGTTGCTTATTTTAGTTTAATAAAAGAATTTGACAGATTTTATATAGAGAAAATAACCTCAGTGACCAAAAATCTTAGATAATATATGATTTTGACTAACTTTTTTTGGATTTGCGAAAATGACCAACAAAATCGCAATGCGATCTCTAATTCGCATTGCGATCTCCACTATCGCAAATTCACGTTGCATTTCGCATTGCGATAGTTGAAAATCGCGTTGCGTTTTTCCATTTCGCGTTGCGATAGTTGAAAATCGCGTTGCGTTTTTCCATTTCGCGTTGCGATAGTTGGAGATCGCGTTGTGGTTTTCCATTTCGCGTTGCGATAGTCTACAGTCGCGTTGCGATTTTTCATTTCGCGTTGCGATAGTTGAAATTCGCGTTGCGATTTTCCATTTCGCGTTGCGATAGTTGAAATTCGCGTTGTGATTTTCCATTTCGCGTTGCGATAGTCTACAGTCGCGTTGCGATTTTCCATTTCGCGTTGCGATAGTCTACAGTTGTCGTTGCGATTTTCCAAATTCGTTGTGATAGTTAAAAAAAAAGATTTTGTTCCTTAAGAATTTTCTCTAAAAAAATAGTATACGCGCGGACGTGTCGAAGACACGTACGACCACGACCACGACCACGACCACGACCACGACCCGACCCGACCCGACCCGACCCGAGACGAGACGGACGACGGCGGCGGTGCGCGAGAGTCCCCCTTGTTCTCTATCACTCAACAATGAAGTGGGAAAGCCAAGCCTTAAATACCATTCTCAATAGTGTTTCCAATACAATGTGGGATTGAGCATTACCAACACTTGTTTCCAATACAATGTGATTATTCAGGAAACAATTAACAATCATGCACCTTAAAACAATTGAATCAACAACCAATTACATTAGTATTATACGATTAAATATGTCATAATTAAAAGTCAATCTACAATCAATCGCGATTATTGTAATTTTAAGCAAAACATTCAAAAATAATATCACTATTTAAGGCTCAATTCCACATAGTATTGGGAACAATTGTTGGTAATGCTCAAATCCCACATAGTATTGGAAACACTATTGGGAATGGTATTTAAGGCTTGACTTTCCCACTTTCTTGTTGAGTGATAGAGAACAAGGGGGACTCTCGCGCGCCGCCGCCGTCCGTCTCGTCTCGGGTCGGGTCGGGTCGTGGTCGTGGTCGTGGTCGTGGATACTATCTTTTTAGAGAAAATCGCAACGCGAAATGGAAAATCGCAATGCGATTTTCAACTATCGCAACGCGATTTTCAACTATCGCAACGCGAAATGCAACGCGAATTTGCGATAGTGGAGATCGCAATGCGAATTAGAGATCGCATTGCGATTTTGTTGGTCATTTTCGTAAATCCAAAAAAAGTTTGTCAAAATCGTATATTATCTGAGATTTTTGGTCACTGAGGTAATTTTCTCTTTTATATATTTATCATAGTCGTTTCGTTGAATTTTTGCTATGCGAGTTAGAGAACTATCAAAGGGTGGCAATGTATGCATGTAAATAAATGCCACCAAGTATATGGCCCCAATTCTGTAGGTTATAAGCCACACAATTTAGAGATTTCCCAAAGGCACATCGGTTATCGTGTCCACATAACCAGCCGAACTTTCAGGTGGCCTACAAAGGAAACCGGTGGAAAAGGTAACACCATCATTGGGATCAAAATAGTACACACCTCATATTAGGGATGACTACGGGTATGTATATATTTATTTATATTGATAATATATTTTCGTATCATTAAAATTTTATAAGTTTATTATTGTTGTAACCCCCTAGACTCGGTCTATGCGTCTCGACTAAGTCTA